GTTGGTTCCGAATGTGCCACGCAAACCTCGTGTTCGGGGTGCAATGGTGTTTGGTGCAAGGGAGCCATGAAGTCGTAGTACACGGTGAGCACCGCTAGTTTCAATGCTTGCAGCGATTGAAGTGCAAAAGGCTGCTTTTGTATGCGTTTGCTTGCATGTTTGCCCATGTTCTTTTGGCAGGCACGTGGTGGGTTCGACGTAGACATGAAAGTACGGCGGCTGGCGTGCATGCTTCGGTCATTTCGATGCAAAGCATATGCAGGTGACTCTTGAAGTCAGTTGAAACTGTTCAATTAAACCACAGTCCAAGCTTTGCAATCCGTACTACGGACTCCACGTGTAGTAAGCCAATAAGGTTTCCATGCTAGCAGGACCATCCTGGACCTTGGTTTTCGGTCTCCAGTTGCTTGTTTTGAACATGCTTGCCTGCCAGCTGTCTGGAGAACTGTGAAACAACTTGATAGTCCCAACAATCAAACTCAAGGCAGAGAGGCTTTTTCCAGAAAAGCTCCATCAAGAAATGCGGAGCTACTTGACGACTCGACCAGTTTGAAGTATGTCCAGTCATATCACATCGACGCCACCAACCAGTCAATCAAAATCTCACGGTTTGATGGAGCATGGGAAGTGCTGCTGCTTCAGCGAAGCGGCTGGCAGGAAGCACAAGCGGCTCAGAGTTTCAATTCAGAAACGGGATAGATTGAATATAGAGCGACTGAGCGACTGCCAAAAAAATCAAACGGCCTTCTCAAAGCTTGTTACGATCCTTTGGGGAACCGTTGACGGTTCCCCCTCATATGATAGGGGGACCCTGCGACATTTGTGACGGAGGTGCACAAACAAAGAGGCTGACGATCAGATCTCCATCCCAAACCCTGTGACGGTTCAATGCAGGTTTAAAGTGAAATGATACGTGCGTATGAGATCACATGAGTAATTGGTTTTTGTCCAATGCCGATGACTATATATATATATATATAGATTACTGTTTTGTCAGGTGTGAGGGGCAGCAGGCTGGCAGATGACCTTGAACTTCAGGAGGGCGTTCATGTGTCATGTGTGGCATCACGAGGCTGCCACCAGCTGAATTGTTCTCACAAGTTTTTGGAGGAGCTACTCAAAGGGTGGGAACGGCTGGGCGTCAGCTTCTCGGGTGCCATACTGCAAGCAGAGCACAAAGAGACCGTCAAGGAGTATGCTGCTCGGCATCGAAGCCTCAATTTGGTTTTTGAGAGGTGCTCAGACGATGACTCCCTTGTAAGTCAGCAGAGATTGTAGCAAGTCAAGGATATGAAGAGCGATTCCTGGACGGCCACAGACACGATCATGGGTGAAAACCAGCTGGTCATCAAGACCACAGGCTCCAGATATGATGGAGGATTTCCGGTGCATTGTGTTATATATGTGACTTGATCGCCAGGCGATGGCTTGCTCACGTTGCGGCTGTCAGAAGCTGGAGGGTTCAAGTGGGAGCATATTGGCAGTTACAGGTACGAGTCTTGACATTTCTCGGCACAAACTACTATTGTTTCTATTGTGTGGGAGCACTTTACAGCACTTGCCGCTACGTGGCTAAGGCTGGGTGGAAAGGGCAAGGACCCTTGTTTGCAGATGACTACTGTCTCTGTTGAGTTGTCATTGTCGTGGTGTCAACAACCCATGACACAAGGCCGTTGGAGGCCTTTTGTAGAGAAGGTTGGCTTGTTGAGAATCTCGGTTGCGTCCGTCCTGATGAGGATGGGCAAAGCATGCTGAAAGTTGTTGATTCAAGCACGCAGGCCGACTGAAGAGTCCGAAAACAAATATCTAAAAATAGAAAATGTAAAGAAAACCAAATACATTTAGGAAAAGTCCGCAGGATCGAAAGGACTCGATAATGATAATGATTGCAAGTGTACCAATGGTTACTCCAGCTCTTTGGATATGTTATTCACAGTTTTGGATGCTTGCAGCGATAAGCCTTTGCACAGGGCTTCTCCGTTGAAGATCTCCGCCAGTCCCTGGAAGAGCTTAGATATACCAAGTGCGGGAAATCCTCAGCACTTTGCCTGCAACAGCTCCGCTTGCCCAGTTCAGAGTGCAGAGGAAAGCACTTGAATATTAACTTCTAGATGGATTCGTTGATGCTGCACACAGTGGAGAATGCTGGAGAGCTGTTGGACAGATGAGTTTCAAGCAAAAAGCTGCCTAAGGGTTGCATTCCATTCCAAGAATTTGCCCTCCGACTCTTCGAGAGACTGGCAGGAGGGGTTGATAACAAAAACCGTGCTGGTTCCGAGCAATTTTGTGCTGATTTTGCTTGAACTAAATACTACATCATACTACTTGGAACACTTCAATGTCCATTGGAGAATTTGTGCTCACATTGCTTTGAGTGTGTGCAACTCCCTCCAGCTAATTGTGCACAAAAAAGGCCGGCCATGCGAGGGCCAGAGAGACTTGGACCCATTGAAGGCCGGATTGGAAAGGGAGACGATCATCATTTGCAAAATGATGTCCTTTGAAGTTGATAAAACATGTTTTGCCCATCTTGAAGGGAGTTGAACATGGTGCCACCAAGCCAGCTCCTGCGAACAACGCGAGCTGGAACTGGCAAGCAGGTGCGATTGAAAGTTTCAATTCATATTGTCAATCCGCTGTTTGAACCGGTTGGCAGGTTCCTAGACATTGGTTACCTGCTACAAACCCTCCCAAATAAGAAGTAAAACACTGAAGAAAATATACAATATATAAATAGATTATATGTAGTACCTTAAATACTTCTCCATTTATGTAATAAAAGAGATATGGATGTTTGTTTAATATACTGTAATATATTTTATTCGATTTATGCATTCAACATATTATTGCTTTACTTATAATATTACGATAAGGCCTACTAACAGGCGCGCGCGCGCGCGCAATTCGGCCAAGCCAAAAGTCCTAAAAATCTGACAAGATGTTGGGATTTTTAGCGAAGACATTTTTCGTTTTGGCGGCTTCATATTTGGTGTTCGGGTTTAGCGTCAGCGGAAAGGACCCGGAATAGTTGGATGATTTTGTAAATTTTAAGTTTTCAAAGTTGATTATCTGGAATGTTCGTTTTGCTCTCCCCACTGCTGCACTACTAGGCCTAGGCAAAAGCATGACGCTTGTTCGACTCCTCCCAGGTCGATGGAAACATGAGTATGGAGCTTGTGATTTTGAGGCATAACACAATACTGCAGAGACTCATATTATGCAGGTCAATCCACAACAGATTCTACCAAGCAGTTACAACCATACACAATCATGTATTGATATCCAATGTCCACTTAGGTATTCGTATCTAATGTTCAATCCCGTATCTAATGTCCAATCCACCATTAAAATTTTAGTTTAACCGATAAAATCCGGTTCGCCCAACTTATTGCTTTTAAAACCTGGTTTGCTATACAGTTTTGAGCTTGGGTGATGCCAGTAACCGTTTCATCTCAGGTCAGGTTCCAATATTGCTCAGGTTTCAAGTATATTCACATGTTTGCCCAAGCGTGCCTGTAGTTGTAGTCATTTTGTGATGTCATGCAGTATCTTTGTCCAGAGACCAAGTTTTTCTGTCCATTGCCCGCCACCGGAGGGGGAAGGCCGGGAGCGATTGTATTCCTGCCTGGAAGAGTTCTGGTAAGAACGGCTGTGAAGCAGTCCATATGGCCTCGACACCTTTGATGCTTGGGTTAAAGCCCCGATTCTTCGAGATGCGAGATCCGAGCCTCGGGAGTCGAGATCCGAGCTCCTAGATTTGAGATCCGAGATACGAAAGCCGAGATTCGAGGTGCGAAATACCAGCTTCGAGATTCGAGATCCCAGAATTCGAAACACGAGATCCAAAATTCGGGACTTGAGATCCGAGATCTGAGATTCGAGATGCGAGAGCCGAGATCCGAGATTCGCGATCCGAGGTTAGAGATGCGAGATTCGAGGGCCGAGATTCGATATGCGAAAACCGAGATTCGCGATCCGAGATTCAGAATATTCGAGAGGCGAGAGCCGATATTCGTGATTTACGTACGGAAATCTTCCTGTTAATTTGTTTCTTCTCTGAAATGATGGAGTTTTACCCCAAAAATAGACGTAATCGTAATTTTATAAAATATGTTATATAAAATTAAAAATGTTTGTTCTATTGCTATGGATTTGGGATATTTAAAAATTATATGTTAAAGAAAGATTTGGGAAATAATTAATACGGGGAGAAAAAAACATAACATAGAATAATTCCAATAGATATGGTTTGAAATATATATTTATAAATAATAATTTATAAAGAACATATGCAAAGGCATAAGTAATTTTGCAATTTATAGATAATGAATTGGATAATAAGATATGGATGTTTGATTTATTGTTTATCGGTTTAATAAGGAAAGGGGTTTGATAATATAATAAGGTTTAATAGTATAAAATATGCGTACGTAATTCGACGAAGTCGAAATTCGTTTTTAAAAAAATCGGTATTATGATTTTATGATTTGCATAAATATATATATATATATATGTTTTTTTAAAATGAAAGTTAGCGAAGCTAGCTGGAATTATTCTTGCGATAGCAAGGTTTCTTTCGATCGGGTGTAAATCCTAATCCCTGATTTTTTAGGTCGAAGCCTCCCCTCTTCTCGTTTCTTCACCTCCCCTCTCCTTACCTCCCCTCTCTTCTTCCTTGTTTTCTTCCTATCTTCCTTCCTTCCCTCCTTCTTTCTTCCCTTTTCGTAAGTTCGATTCCGTCTTGTCGTCGCTCTTTGGCACGCGGTTAGCGTTGCGTATTTTGCGGCCGCAATCGCTCACTCTCACTCTTTCACTCTTTTATTGTCTCACTGTCTTATTGTGTCTCTCTTTCTCTCTTTTTCTCTTTTTCTCTCTCTCTCTTTTTCTCTCTCTCTCTCTCTTTTTCTCTCTTTCTCTCTCTCTTTTTTTCTCTCTCTCTCTCTCTCTCTTTCTCTCTCTCTCTTTCTCTCTCTCTCTCTCTCTTTCTCTTTCTCTTTCTCTCTCTTTCTCTTTCTCTTTCTCTTTCTCTTTCTCTTTCTCTTTCTCTTTCTCTTTCTCTTTCTCTTTCTCTCTCTCTCTCTCTTTCTCTCTCTTTCTCTGTCTCTTTCTCTGTCTCTTTCTCTTTCTCTTTCTCTTTCTCTTTCTCTTTCTCTCTCTCTTTCTCTTTCTCTTTCTCTTTCTCTCTTTCTCTTTCTCTTTCTCTTTCTCTTTCTCTTTCTCTTTCTCTTTCTCTTTCTCTTTCTCTTTCTCTTTCTCTTTCTCTTTCTCTTTCTCTTTCTCTTTCTCTTTCTCTTTCTCTTTCTCTCTCTCTCTCTCTCTCTCTCTCTCTCATTTCTTTTATTTCTCTCATCTCTTTTTTATCTCTCTCATCTCTCTCTCTTCTCTGTCTCTCGTCTTTCCGTCTCTCTTCTCTCGCAGGAGGATCCGGGCAAAGAGGCACATATAAAGGATTCTTCACCCCTGCCTCCAAAAAGAGCGTCGTGTTTTTTCTTACCTTGTTGCCCTCCATTTTCCCATTCTGGAGCGCTAGCTTTCGCCCTTCCCCTTGGCCTTGAGTTAAGATAATTAAATTTTTGATAATCGATTTTAGGCTTAATGGAAAATACCCAAAATAAATGGTATTTTTTGATATTGGTTTTGAAACGATTTATTTGATATTCGAAATAATTTGATTATTTTGAAAATTTCGTTTCGTTGTTATGATTCTTTGTTTTGGTGGATTATAGGAATATGATGATTTCTTTTTATTCTTTATTAAATTTATATTTTCAAATAAATATATAATATGATATTTTAAAATTATGCGAGATTCGAAAATTGGTGTCGGTATGTATTATTTTATTCGTCGAAATAAATGAATTATTTTGAATATTTTTTGTTGTGGTTTTTTTATTTTTGTAGTTTGGGAAAATTATTTATTGAATTATGTTTTATTTAAACGAATAAATTCTAAAAATAAGTAATTATTTATAGAAGATTATAGTGATTTAATATTTGCAAGTTGCGCGAATGGAATCGGAATTCCGAGAGTCGAAGTTCGAGATTTGAGATTGATTCGAAATGCGAGATTTGGTATTCGAGATCCGATTTTGGAGATGCGAGATGGGCATTTTGATCTTCTAAATTCGAGATCCGCGCTTTGGGAGTCGAGATTTGAGTTCCTAGATTCGGGATTTGAGATCCGAATCCAAGGCTCGGGATGCAAGATTACCAAATGGAGGATGTAGAAATGGCGTCGAGGGCAATGCAATATAATATAACGAGGGCAATGCAATATAATATAACGATAATTTTATTGTCATTTATTTCTTCGATAAGATTTTTAATGAAGGTCTTGATGGATCGTCCCTTCGAAATATTCGTTGATGCATAGATGGGGACGATGGAGCATTTATTTAGAATGATCGGAATATTCTTGCAACGGTTCGCGCTCCTGAATTGCCAATGTAATTTCCTCCACAATTCTGATTGCTAATTATTCGATCTTTTTAGAAAATACTAATTATATTATAGGCCGCAATATTAGGCATTTAGATGATATAATCGCAGATCAAAATAATCTTTATTACAATTTGAAAATCGTAGACCGGCTAATTGTTTGTTTTATCCGTGCAATTTTTTAATTTCGCCCGCATATACAAGAGTTCATCACACCCATGTTCGGGCACATCAAGGTGAAATATACAATGAACTAGTGGATGTCGCGGCCAAATGGGCCGTTAGCCAGGGTGCGACAAGAGCCGACGAAGGACAGTTACGACAGGCACTTGCCTTGCTAGGAGAAAATGCCGAATGGATGTGGCTTTTCTTCGTGTCCCCGGATCCGTCAAAAACCATTGGTCCTTCGGGCATTCGACAGCATCGAACGGGGACAGTTGCAGAAGAAGAAATTCAGCTCATTGTCACGGAAATGATCCCGGACTCCTCACGGGCAAGAGCCGTGTCCCAGCTTGCCCAATTTGATCTGAAGCTTGCCACGTACAATGTGTTATCGGCCAAAGATCAAATTATGACTCAGGCAGCAGAGCTCGGACGTGTGGCCCTGCTTCGCGACCAATTCCAAGCGGCCGGATACCACATCATGGGTCTCCAGGAAACTCGGAATAAAGCAGGGATGATCGCAAGCAGCACACACGTCCGATTTTGTTCGGGGGCAGATGGACAAGGTCAGTATGGTACAGAGTTGTGGTTTTCCCTGGATATTCCATTTGCTGTTGATGGTAAGGGTAAGGCACATTTCTTCAATAGGACTGCCTTTGTGGTTCTATATAGTGATCCGAGGATTATCGCTGTGCATTGCAAGAATAAAATCTTAGAGTTTGTGGCCATTTCCGCACACAGCCCGCACAGTGGAGTAGGTCAGAATGATCGAGAACAATGGTAGGAGCAACTGCGGGGGATTTGCTGTCTGCATGAGCGGTCTGTAGATAAGATACTACTCATTGACGCAAATGCTAGACTGCACACACCAGTTGATGCCATTGTGGGCAATCTCGTGGAGAACTTTCCAACCCCTAATGAGCTGTCCTTTGTAGATCTACTGGCCTCCACTGGCCTCTTTCTACCCAGCACATTCGAGGAGTTTCATTGGGGAGACATTGCCACATGGACCCATCCAGGGGGAGGCACATGTAGTAGACTTGATTACATCGCTCTCCCAATACAGTGGCGGTCTGCTGTCATCTCCACATGGGTTGATACAGAAATCAGCTCTGGTGC